CCTTGGGCGGCCTGTTGTCGGACTTGTCAGTGACAGATATGGACGGCTTAATATGGCTGTCTTGTTCACCGTCTTCTGCGGTTTTCTCTGTCTAGCTGTCTGGATACCGTCGTCGAACATGGGTGTGCTCTCCTTCTTTGCCGTCATAGTAGGTACTGTGGCCGGCACCTTTTGGACAACCATCGTTCCGGTCTGTGCAGAAGTAGTTGGTATGCAAGAACTCCCAGGGGGTCTAAGTATTACCTGGGTAGCTATGGTGCCTGCAACCACTGTGGCTGAACCCATTGCTCTTGTCCTTAGGACAGGGTCGGGCTCGACAGGCTCATATCTATATGCGCAGGTCTTTGCTGGGCTCGTATATGTTGTTGCTGGACTGTTCTTGTTAGTCGTCCGCGGCTGGAAAATCGGTGATAACGAGAGGATCGAAAGGGTGGCAGCCACCAATACCCCTGCAACCGTGGTATCTACCCCGGTTTTCACAACCATCCCTACTGCTACAATGGGTGATCCCCTCACTGGCTGTGCAACGGTTGAACGAGTGATGAGCCGTCCTGATGACGCTAACTGTCCGCCTACTGGCGCAGACGTGAAAATTTGGTCACCTCTACCACTAACTCGGCGAATGGTGGCTTGGAAACTAGTCTAAATTAAAAAAAGGAAGAAAAAAGAGGTCCACTGCATATCGGATACCGGTTGTTTTTCAGTGCAAGGCTTTTAAGAATCGAGTGGCTTGGGCGTTTATCTATTCTAATTTTTGGTGACAAAGTACATTTAATGCCATTACGAATAACTAAGTGAATGGCTAATGATTTAGATGCATCAGTCGTAGTAAATTGGCGGAGTAATATGATGCATGATACACTTACAAAAATATATCATGCCTTCTCTAGAATCAGGACTCGCACTCTCCTTTTGCCTGCTCCACGTCCCTTTTCTTCCTTGACGGAACTAACATTAACCTTGACTTTATCAAATAATTCAACAACCATACTCTTCGATGTTGACGGCGACTTGGTCTCTTCATCTCCCTCATCCCCTTCTTTCTCCCAAACCTTAAGGGAGTATTGCTCATTGTCGAACTCGCTTTCTCTCCTGGCAGCTAGCTGCTTGCTTGCACTCGGATCAAAGACCTTTGCTTGCTGCCCATCCAAAACGAAGTCTTCTAGTCGGACAACTCCTTCGATGCCAAACCGTGGAATGAAGACAACAACGCCGTTATCAAACACACGCATCACGTAGCCTTCTTCATCTACACCTGGAGCGACGTCAGAGCCGAGACGCTTGGCTTCCATCTCACCCCTGGCCTTCAGCGCTTGGCCAACATAATATTCTATACTGGCTCGGCCGGCAAACTGGGCATTTCTATGCCTATGGTTGATATTCTTGCAAATATCTTCTAGCTTGCTTCGAGTAGTCAGTCCTTCACCAGCAGAAGCTCCTGGTCCCTCATAGCCGATGGCGGCAGCCAGCTGTCGATGAACAACAAGATCAGCATATCGTCGAATAGGCGACGTAAAATGGGTATATATTGGCGAAGCAAGTCCATAATGTCTGAATTCGGATTCTGAATGTGCCCCGGCGCAGAAATATTCTGCGGAAGTCATGCATCGTGTAGCTAAGATACGAATGAGAGTGTTGAAAAAAGGATTTCTCTCGTCAACGCATTTGTCTAGGGAATTAGCTAGAGCTAGTGAGCTAGACACATCGAGTGTCAGATTGCGCTTTTTCGAAAGCTGGGTTATTAGCTCCTCGAAATTTGAAGGCGGTGGTGTAGCATGTCTTCGCAGAAGGGCCGTCTGAGGGAACGATTCATAGATCCTGGCGGCTACCGAGATATTGGCGAGAAGCATGAACTCTTCAACGAGGCTGTTTGTATCTAAAAGAGCCTTTGTCTTGACATCTGCAACAGGGTCAGAGAGTTCCGAGTCTGTTTCAATGCGGACCTCTGGGGAGGCAAGGTTTAGTGCTCCCGCGTCCATTCTCTTCTGTCGAAGCAGCTTAGACAGCCGGAGGAGGGTACGCATACTTGCTGTTAGGTCGTCTGTTTTCGACTGATCATCAATACGCAATTGAGCCTGTTCATAACTGAATGCCTCGCGGGAAAAGATAACGGACTTGGTAAAACTCGAAGACACAACCTCTGCGTCGGGAGTTATTTCCCACAACACGGAAAATGCGTAACGTTCAACGTGGGGCTTAAGAGAGCAGAGATCGGTTCCAAGTAGCATTGGAAGCATGTCTATTCGCTTGTCTACCAGATAGACCGTTGTTCCTCGCATGCTAGCCTCTGTATCCATGGCATTATTTGGACGCACAAAGTTGGAGACGTCTGCGATATGAACACCGACTTCAAAGTTACCATTTGGTAACGGCCGGGAGTGAAGTGCATCATCAATATCCTGACAACCGGGCGGGTCAATACTGCAAACAAGTAAATCCCTCAAGTCTTTCCTGTCATTCCATCCAGGGTCTGACATGTCCTTCGGAACCTTCCAATCATGGCCCTCCGGCGGTAGACAATCCAGAACTGTCTGAGGAAACGGTCTGTATTGCACGTCATACTCCAACAAAAGTGCCTCTGTCTCAGCGCCCTTGGTTTCTACCTCTCCCAGGGATCGCACGAAGTGACCCACGGGATATCGAGAATCCCTATCCCAGGCATCTATTGTGATCAGTATTCTCTGCCCCATAAGCTCGTTTGCTTGTCGAGTTCTTATTCTTATCTTAGGCACTCGTTTGTCCATGGGAATCACGAAGACAGTCTGTTGGCGTCGACCGGCCGACGAAGCTTGCGAGCTAGATGACCCATCAATGTGCCCAACGTATTGTCGCCAGTTTCTCTTGATGATACCGACCACCTTTGCGGTTGGCTGCGGGCGGCTTTCAGTTCCTGTCCCATGAGCTTTCCGGACCTCCTCCTGTAGAGCTTTCCTCTCACGCTCTGTCACTACAGCCTCGTTTTCTTCAGCTTCGGGATTATCATCTTTTGTTAAAGCTTCCTCATCAATGATTTTAGAGGAGGGTGTTTTCCACTGATCCTTGGGCAGTACCTCAACAACAACGATATCTCCAGAAATCGCCCTGTTGCTGTTATCTCTTCCTAGAATGAGGAGTGATTTCTCAAAAGCAGGGACATTCACGCTACCCTCTAGATAGTTATAAGGAGAGACATTGAATATCCCCTGGTGCAAAGTACCAGCTCTTATCAGTGTCATTATCTTTGACATAGAATAATAGGCAGAATATAACATCTCTCCCTTCTTTGGCTTAGCATCATGAGCCAATTTTGACTCATTGACCATGTCCAGTAGTCTGTCTGCATCTTCAAGCCCGGATATATATTCTGTCAAGGACAGGGCAACCACACCCTCTTCATCTGCCTTGGAACGGTTTCCCTTGTCATCTGTAATTACTACGATGGCAGGGGCACTTTGTTCCTTCTGGCTGCTCCTTGTGACCGCCTGGAGATGTTCTGTGTACCACTTTGCAGCTGTTCTCACAGCCCGGTCATTGCGGTCATTTATACTCTCCTCTGCACCTCTTCTGACATGGGTTTCCAGTCGGAATTCGTTAAAAAACAGGTAGTATCGTTTCTCTTCGCTCCTTATCAGAGATATTAGCCGGTTGTATAAAGGTAGAGACTGGTTCTTGAGCTCTTCTAGCACGGTCTGCAAAATGATAACATCATAAAAGGCACTTGTCTGCTCAAAAAGATCCATTGCATTAAGTAGAGCATTCGTGTCAGGAATCAAGTAATGGCCCTTTGGAAACCGCTTTGTACCGGCAGGCCTCTCTGAGAGAACGAAAGGTGTGACTAGGACGCAAAATCAGTCAGAAAATCTGCTATAACCGCGGGTGATAGGAGAATCCTACCAAAGCCATTGGCATCTGTCGGCGCATATGAAAGACATGCGGTGCATAATTTTGAGGAGCATGGAATATCTTGTCTAAGGTAGAGCTCCCGCACTATTTTCTGGACCTTGCCACTCTTTGTGGAACGAACAAATATTTTGCTGGAGACATTCGAGGCATGAGGGTTTGAGGAGTTGTTTCTTCGTAGACTCTTCATATTGGATGTGTAGATAGGAAGTCTCTGATATCAAAGGTTAACAAGTTTAAGTGGCATGAATTTTGCTTCTAGGCAAATAACTACCTAGTATAACCACGCCGGACTGTCGCAAGGGGTTAGATACGGCGGGTATGTAGAATCAGGTTGTCTCCCGCTCTGTGGTGACAATCCACGTCTTTCAATTAATTAATTAAATGCCAGCCAAAATAGCTTCGAGATAGTTGATAGCTAATTTTTGTTATCGTAGATCACGTGTTAACTGCGGCTTAGGCCATGGAGGTCAGCCAATCACGGGGAACTTGAATATTGCTGTCACTCATCGGGTACAGAGGGATAATCAAAGACGCTTGAGTATGTTAACAGACGGCTAACTCTAGCTATGCGAGTAGAGTGGCTTCCATTAGCCTGTCTATATAAGGAGGAAGTATCAAAACATTAGAGAAGATAAAGTGGATGTTCCGTTCCCGGCAGAAGAAAGGGTAATAAGATAGGGTAGTATTTCCCAGTACAGGAGAAACCGAAAGATAATAGGAAAGTAGGTAAGTAAAAAAGGATGGGAAGGGGGCATCTAGTTCTGTTCTAAACTCTTGAAGCCATCATCTGGTGTACCGTATTTTCCTCGAGGCCTTTTTTGCTTCCGACCGTTTCGGTCCCAACCAACTTTGTGCCGACAAACGACCCGCAAATTCCATTATCCTCCAGGGCAAAGAAGAAACAGGCATATATACAACAAGAGCAGTCGCAGCAACAACAACAACAATCAATCAATATCTAGAAACTGGGCAGATTCATATCCGGTTTAGAGGGAGGAAATCATTGTTTCTGGACTTTGTCGGGGTCCTCCAAGATACCTTCTTTTTCGAGTCTTCTTCGTGCCTCTTCCAGAGCCCATGTTTGTATCCTGATAATCAATTGGTGTTAGTAATTCCGGCTAAATAAGGAATATATGTAGATTGACATACGAGGTGTCTGGCTTGAAGACGTAGGCAATGCCGGCAACGAGGAAGCTTCCAAAGAAACCATAGTAGAAGATAGTCTCCCAGCCTTCCTTGACATATTTGTGACCTGGCTTGACGCCAAAGAGCCATCCAGTTGGTGGATCATAGTGGCCTCCGGCGCCGAGCAGTGACGTCCGGGTTGAGAACCGAGCATGTTGTGGAGTACGGAGCAGGCACCGCGAGCGGACAGGGAGGGAGAGAGCGCGCGCTGACATTGTCGTTGTCTTCAAGTATCCGTAGAGTGCCGGGTATATGATCTAAATTCGATGCAATGGGCTGCAATCAAGGCTGGACGGGGTGAGCAGCCAGTAGCGGGGAGCAGCTAGTTTAGATGAGGTCGGTTTTTTGACGCCGATTTTTTATCCCCGGTTCGGCCCCAATTGACGGATTCCAGGTAGAGAGCCGGTGCGGTCTTGAAACAGGGAAGCCTTTAAGAGACCATCCACGAGGAGGAAAAGCTGAGATATCGCTGGGACGCCGGCTTGCTTGCGGACCGAAAGTTGATGATAGCAGGCAAAACAACGAAATATCGAAATGACTTGTTGGACGTTGTCGCATTTTTGCGCTTTTCCCCTTTTGGCGTGTTGGCTTGGCGATGGCTTACCTAATATTATCGGGGTATAGTTTATCCGGAAGATGGACGCAGGGAAGGTAAAGCGAGGCCTGCGAGCTTTGATGCGGAAGGTGAGCCGATATCAGATCGTTAGCCCGAGACGCCGGCGAGCAGCAGCAATGGCAATATCAACAGCAGAAATGATGCATGAAAGATCAATTGTGAGTGTTCTTAGTTACGCTACAGGCCATTCTATATTCCCATGCATCCTGTACATATGCTTCCACTGGTAGAGTAGGACAACTGACTGTTCGCCGCTCCGTATAAAGATGCAGACCACCCGACAGATCTCCGAACCGTTAACGTCATGCATGCGAAGCTCGGTGCAGGGAAGAAGCTCGTGATGAAGAAGCATTGCGCTAGAGACTTCCAGCGCCTAAAACCTCGCCGGATGGTCTTTTCCTTGCGTCCGTCCCCTGCAGGCGTGTTAAGGCTTCGCTCGTCGCCGGAGAAAAAGAAAAATAGGGGGGCGCTTATGCTTAGCTAAGCCACTTTCTACCTCGGCATCTTTTTTTCGTCTTCCTGGAGCTTCCGCTTATCGTGAAATCCCAAAGATTCGCCCAGGAGACGCAGAAGAGGAGCCGGCATCTTGTGATCAAAAGGCGTTGCTCGTCTCTTGTCTTCTGGTTCTTATATCTGGGTCCTCTCTCCCTCGCTCCCTCCTCCCCCAGTTTCTTCCTTTTTGTTTCCCCAGCTCCCCAGCTTTTGTCCGTTCCCTTGCTTCACTCTACTTGCTGTCCGAACTCCTTTTTATATATATCATCACCATGGTCTCTTCTCCGGACTGGGTGAAGAAGCTGGCCCCAGCTGGCCCTCAGGGCTCGGAACTCCTCAAGCATGAGAGAGGTCAGTCCAATATCTCCGTTGATAAGCTGGCAGAGCTGCTGCATACCAAAGAAGTGCTTGAGAGACAGGACCGTATCCTTTCCCTCATCCAACATGAAGAAGTCTTTGATAAGTCCCAGAACCACTCTCTTGGACGAGTTGAACGGGTCAAGAAAGCGCTTGCACGGGCAAAACGGCTAGAGCAGCTGAAGAGGCAGCATAACTGGTCCGAGGACGACTTTATCATGGCCAACAACCTGATCAGTGAACCAACTCCATACGGCCTCCATGCATCCATGTTCCTGGTAAGACGAGATCAATTACCCCCCTATATGTATATTTACTGCCAATTGCGCTTTTTCTAACTGGATGTTTAGGTCACCCTCCGAAATCAAGGCACCCCAGAGCAGCACAAGCTCTTCTTGGAGCCAGCTGAGAGATATGAAATCATTGGATGCTACGCTCAGACTGAGCTTGCCCATGGTTCAAATGTCAGAGGCCTCGAGACCACTGCTACCTGGAATCCAGAGGACAAGACCTTCACTATTCACTCCCCGTCCCTGACTGCGGCGAAGTGGTGGATTGGTTCACTTGGAAGAACTGCCAACCATGCAGTTGTCATGGCCCAGCTTTATATCAACGGGAAGAACTACGGACCTCATCCATTCGTGGTTCAAATTCGAGATCTCAAGACTCATGAGCCACTTGAGAACGTCCACGTTGGTGACATTGGCCCTAAATTCGGCTACAAGTGAGTATACTCTGCTTTCTTACTACTGGAAGTTCTGGTTGGTTGACATCTCTTAGCACCATGGATAATGGATTCCTGCTCTTCAACAAAGTCAAGATCCCTCATATCAACATGTTGGCTCGCTTCTCCGGCGTCGACCCCAATACCAACAAATATGTTCGACCTGCCTCCCCATCTCTGATCTACGGCACACTTACCTGGGTCCGATCCACCATTGTCCTTCAATCTGGCGGTGTCCTTGCCCGCGGTGTTACCATTGCTACTAGATACTGTGCTGTCCGAAGACAGTTCCAGGACCGTGATGCTCCTGCAAACGCACCCGGCGACAACCAGGTCCTCGACTACAAGATGGTACAGATTCGCCTGTTCCCCTTGTTGGCCGCCACCTTCGCCCTACACTTTAGTGGCCGTGGCATGATGGCGCTATACAATCACAACCAGGCCATCATGAAGAAGTCTGCCAGCAACCAGGCAAGCGGCAGGGGTGCTGGTCCCGAGGAGTTGAACCCTGGTGCCGATCTCTTGGCCGATCTCCATGCTACTTCTTGTGGTCTCAAGGCCCTAGCAAGCACCATTGCTGCTGAAGGTTTGGAAGTCTGCCGTCGTGCTTGTGGCGGTCATGGATACAGCAGCCATAGCGGAATTGGACCCTGGTACTCTGACTACTTGCCCAACACTACCTGGGAAGGTGACAACTACATGTTGACCCAGCAGGTTGCCCGATATGTGAGTTTCTTTATATGCCCCTCAGCAGGGTTCAAATAGCTAACATATACATAGCTCCTTAAATCTGCCCGATCCGTCTTTGTCGGCAAACCAGCCAACAACGACACCTGTGCTATCCTTCAATCCTATCTCTCACGCCGCGAGACCGGTGCCGCTTTCGATATCCTCGAAAACGACGCTGATATCGTCGCCGCATTCGCCTGGAGAGCAGCCTACCTGACCTTCGAAGCCCTTAAGCACCGTGACGTCGAGAAGCGATCCTGGAACAGTCTCCTTGTTGACTTCTGGAGACTCTCCACTGCTCATTCTCAGTACCTTGTTGTCAAGAACTTCTACGAAGCTGTCTTCCCATCTGGCTCTTCTGCCGAGGTCGCTGCCTCCCTAGGAATCGACGAACCAACATTGGACGTCCTTCGAAAACTCTTCCGTCTTCACTCCCTACATACCCTCGAGCGTGAGTCGGCTGACTTCTTCACCTCCGGAGCCGTCACCACAAGACAGATTATCCTTACCCGCACTAAGGCTGTCATGAGGCTGCTTGACGAAATCCGTCCTCATGCCGTCCGCCTCGTTGATTCGTGGAAGTTCCCTGACTGGCAGCTTGATAGCTCCCTCGGCAGATTTGACGGAAAGGTTTACGAGGATTTGTTCCGCCGCGCAAGTGAAGAGAACCCTCTTAACGAGCTAACCTTCGATCCTTACCCAATGAGCAACACCTTGGTGAAGAATGAGAAGAGTAAGCTTTAATTGTCTTGCAAAAGTTACGGCTTCGATCTACCTAGTATTTCTTTTCCCCACTCTTGGTTGATATACCTTACTTATTATGGGCCTGCTGTTGTGTTCAAGTTCGATGTTTTATTTTTTTTGTTTGCGGTGGAGCATCTGAGGATATCTAGGATCTTCAGGATAGACAATCACTTGTCATAGAATTGGGGCGGCTACTATAGATTTGATAGAAGATACGCCCTAGACAGCGTTGTTATCTCTTTTTTTACTTGTTAATTCGGATATATCATTTCTATTCTTATCAATTTATATACTCTATCGTCATTCTCGCCGTGGCAGCATTAGACATACATTCGTATAAACGTAACTTTGAAGAAGAATGAGTGCAAAAAGACCAAATTCAAAGATTAGCCAAGTGAAAGAGGAAGCAGATATCAATCATCTTTCATCGCAAGTCCTTGTTTATATGCCCTCTCATAGCAAAAGGACGCATATAATCAAGCCTATCACCCACATATATATTGTTGGCGAAAGTCGACTGCCAGAATTTCCTGGCTGCGCTTTACCAATCACTGCGGTACCGATGTTAGTAGCTGAGGCAGTGCAACTAACTTCTCCGCATTGATATCCATTCGGACAACACCCACCCCCATCATTTGGTGGACAGCTCATCCATCCATCTGCACATCTCCTGGTAGCCGTAGCAGATGCTGAGTTGGGGGTAGTGTTTACAGGAATCACAACAGTGACTCCATTGCTTTCCACTGTGGTCAAAGATGCAGTGACTGGACAGGAGGTTGTTTCGCAATTTCGTCCTGTTTGGCAACATCCACCGCCATATACGGCACTGCAGGCATAAAATCCAATAGGGCACAGGTCCGGGATACTGGCAGTAGAAGTTGATGGGTTCGAAGTAGGACGGCCAGGTGGTAAAACTGTAGGCGCTGTTTCGGTTGTCGATGGAGGGGGTGGAGGCGGTGGTGCAACAGTCGTATGGCTGATAGTCGATATTGTTGTTATAGTTGATGATGGTAGTGTAATTATCACCGTAGTAGTCGTGACTAGCAGGCAGCCTTCAGCCACACATGTATATCCCGGCGTACAGCAACCACCACCTAAGTTGGCCGGACAGGTGGTATATCCTTTGGGACATGAGATGAGTTGACCTGAACAGTCCTGACCTCTGGGACAGCAACCGACGTCGCCTAATCCGGTGTCTTTTACGATTAGGCAGACATCCCCCGTTTGACAGCAGCTCTTTGGGCGATTTATGGATGTACATGGTGCACTTCCGGCCGGGCACTCAAAGCCTCGCTTTCCGAGAACAGACCGGCCAGCCACTGGTAGCGGATAGGAATGTAAGAGAAGCGGTGATCGAGCATTTAGCGGAGTTTTGTCTCTGGGACGTTCTGCATCTTCACCAGAAGAAACCATGCTATCGAGACTCCAGTAATGGCCAAAGAACTTTTGTCCAGGATCATCCGACATCTTCCGCACTAGAAACGGGTATTCTCCTTCGCCATGGTCACGTTTTGCTGGTATCACTCCATTTGCAGCTGAGCTGTTGTTGCTGG